AGACGGTGTCTTTTCTAAGTTTCGTTGAATGATGGCGCGCGACTCGTGCATAGTTCACGATCGATCTTTCGCGGATTTTCAAGAGCAAACTCGACGAATGAATGACTGGACGAAAAACACCCTTCGCGTTTCCATCCGTCCTAATCCGATAGGCATCGTTCCTCCAGATGTTTAAACGAGTTGTTTGCGTATTGAGATGCGTGGCACAGATATATAATCTAGTCAATTTGACACCCTCATCGGGGGCCTAATGGTTGCTTTCAACCCAGGGACCAGTTATGTGCAGCTTCCTCGTAGCAAATGGCCGGATTTATCCTGCGATCGCTTATCGCTCGGAAGATTCATTTGTCTTTAACGTTTCTTAATTTTATTAAAAACTGTTCCTCGCATTCTGACATACATACAAGCAGGATAGTTGAACGAACACAGTGTCAGAGAGTGATGTCCGTTTTTATAAATTGAGCTTCTCCTTCTCCGGGTTCGCCACCAGCGCAGTCGGGATCGCGTGCATTGGAACTTCGGTGTATTTCTTCGGTGGCAAAAATCTAGAACAAGTGAATAGTTTCGTCATTTCGCCTTTCCATAGGGATTCAGTGTAAATATTACAGAGGTCTCCGATTCGGTGGCACAATCGAAAAAACGAGTAATTTTTACATGAAGAAAGACAAACCGAAAAACGAAAAAGTAAAATTTTTTTTTTTATTTATCTCCTTTTTTTATATAGGATCACTCTCTTTTTGGTTGCACCACCAAATTAGAAAAATTCTACATAATAACGTATATAATAACGTGAGCCGTTTAATATAAAATGGAGCAAGTCAAGAAAGTTAACTTCTAGAGAATAGGAGATAAGGTAAAAATTCTGAAAAAAAGTGCAAAAACATCGGAGAACATCTTTTACGCGAGCCATTGCAAAATTATAACTTCTATGCCACTTCTGCATAAAACAGAACGAAGGATAAGCTTTCGAAATATGATGTTCGAAATCGAACGAGCAAAACGATTCGCTCGCGTCACTCTTGCATCAAACGATTTATATATTTTCGTGAAACAAATATCATGATACTTGCGTACCTTTGAACGAACGGTGGAAAATGACTTCTCTCCACCTCTCTTAGATCGTTGGCGCCAGTCATGAAACTAACTACCGTTCCAATCACCATCGATATCAAGAAACCGCACAGAGAATAATACATGAACGATATCGTGAACAGTACGAACGGTTTCTCCTCTTCGTCCGCTGGGTTATCATCCGTGTGCGTTGTCGTTTGATTAAACACCGTGTGATTTAAACAGCTCTCCGTCGACATAGGAAGCGGAGGATAAACCAATCGTTTTTGAGCCATGTTCACTTGAGCACCGACTATAAGCCAAATCATGAATAACATGGAAGTTAATCCACCCACGATGACACCTTTCGACGTCGCCCATGGCACCAACATTCCCAGAGTGAAAATACCCAGCATCGCGCCAGCTGTAATTCCGTGAAGTGCCAGAGAAGCACGGAAAATATCGCCTAAACGATCTACGACGAAAACCATCACCATGCAAATTACTCCAATGACGACCACGATAACCTGGAAATCGTAATGTCGTTGATTAATGTCATTACTTTTGTCCAAAAAAAAAAAAAAAA